TATTTTGTCAGTGCGTGTTATTTGAGGATCAAACTATGATATATAACATTCTTATTCGTACACGTAGCTTTTACAAGGTAACATGTAATTATTTATGTCAAAATAAAGGTTTTTTTAAAGAAAACAGTCGTTATAAAATGAAAAACACTCATTACAAGTTGTAAAACACAGGATCTGTAATAGAAGGAGTTAATACGTCAATAGAAAACAAAGAGCAATGTTAAGTTTTGTGCAACTTTACTCAAGACATATCACAAAAGTAACTAATTGCGCTACTGAATGGCAGAGACTTTCCATTATTAGTTTTCTATTTCCAGTGGTCTCTGCCAGCTATTCATACTTGCCACACTTTCTTGCCTGCTGCTGTCTAACGCCGCCTGAAGTATATTATTTTTAAAAATTGTCTTAATTTTTCGGTTTTCTAATAGAACAGAAATATTATTTTAAGAATATTAAAGAACGGTGAAATCTCGTCCTAATTGGCAATTTTCTTTGAAAAATTTGGAGCGCTTTTAAGAAAAAAATGGCGCTAAGCGCTCCCATAAATTCGAAATTTGTTGCACTTTTTTACGGTGAAGTTTTCAGTTTTCACAAAACTTAATTTGAAGCACTTCAACTCACAAATACTATAGTGCTTATAAAATGCTGAAAATGTGCATATTACGGGCGTGAGAGATCTTTCAAAAAATCAATTTGTGTACGTTTTGAAAAAATTAAAAAAATATCACAATATGAACTTAATCTCATATTAAAGAGTGCAATTAGCACAATCCTTTCGAAAAGTTGAACAAATTTGGAATGAAAATTTATGTAAGTTTTGACAAACGGTTACGTTTCCGAGGCGCTTTATTACATTGTTTGAAGCACATGTACTCATATAGTGTGAACAAATTGTCGTCAATATAAATATTAACCTTAGAAGTAAAAAAATACATTTTTGTAACTTTTGAAAAATAAGAAACAAAAGAATAGAGCAACATGGCGTTTGGCATTTCATAGAGTGGATTTAGCGTAATCCCTACCAAAAGTTAAAAAAAAAGAAAAAATGGAGCCTTTTCGAGAAAACTTTGTTTTTGTATTTTTTTAAATTTCACAAATTGCACGCAATATTGCGCGAAAACTACTAAAATTATCAAAAAATATGTACATGCGCTAATGAAAAAATAAATTATGCTCAACAAAATGTATTTGAAGGAAAAATCTCTATCTTTAATTTTGTAGTTGTAGGAAGTCCCCCAAAAAAATTCAAACGTTTGAAATTTTCGAGTTAACCGTGAAAATCGGCACTTTTATAAGTGTATTCGTACGAGACATTTCAAGAAAAAATTGGAGCCACTTTTGAAAAAAAAATTGAAATGTTTCAGGCGCCTTATATAAAAGAATCCCCCTAAAACTAATGATTGTCAAAATCTCAGAGCTTCGACTCGGGCCAAATGGACAAGGGTTTCTTCAATTTGCCAGACGGGCGGATTAAAAAACAACACTTTTTCGGTATCAGGGTACCCCCAAAACGTGTATTTCCGTTGAAATCTCCAAATTGGTTTTCCGCAGCATGACATAACTTTCCCTATACTACGTATGTATACGGGAAAGTAAAAATAATAAAATAAAGTGACCTATGGTTTCAGTGTTATTCAGTCATTGCATATCCTTTGGCTTTTATCACAGCTAGGCTTTGCGCCTGCATGGATTTTGGGTTTTATTTTTTCCATTCTGCTTCCACAAGACGTTTAGTTCTTTGTTTTTCAAGTCAGCTTTGTGAACTTATCATTTAAAAACTCACCGCAAATGCCTTACGGGACTTCAATCCGGACTTTGAAGTGGTGTTAGCAATAATTTTGCCACGTTCCATGTATTACCCATGTCATATTGAACCTTGTGCTAATTGTCATTGTCCTGCTGAAAACGGTAAACAGGTGGTAAGCCCATTTCCGCAGCAATTTGTTTCACATTGTTCTTTAAAATGTTGAAATAAACGTTGGTATCCATAATTTCATTAATAAATTCCTCGTGTTCATTCAACATACATTTCTTTAGTTTTTGTGGCAAATTGTTCATAGAACCTTCCTCTCTAAACTTTCTTTCAATGTACTGTATAGTGGAGTGGCTTTTGTTCACTATTCGATCAATTTGTCTTGAGTAATAGCCCTTAAGTGCTCAATTGACAATTACTACTTTTGGAAGAGAGCTCCTTCGGATTGGCCATTTCGATGCCGACTGTTGCCTACTGGCAGAACTATCCCGAGAGCGCGTTGAGACCTTGGAGGACTCCATATTGCCACTCACTTCGACTGTACAAATAGCAAAGTTGTGACCAAGGACATTTGTTTTATTGAATATTAATATTATGTTAAACATACATTCGTGTCATATTTTTATGACATTTTGTATATTTGTTACTAATGCAATTGGTGCACAATTCTCGTCAGTTTTCTAATTTATTCGATCTGGCTAGGTTTACATTCTTGCCCCATCCACTGCCCAGCAGCCATCTATCGCAAACCAAAGTACTTTTTCTTCAAAATTTTCTTGATTTTTCGGTAACCTAATGATATAATTGAAATATTACTTTAAGAAAATTGTAGAAAAGTGGAATCTCGTCCAATATGGAAATTTTCGTTGGAAACTTTGGATCTGGTTTTAAGAACATAGCGTTTAAGCGGTATTTAACTTAAAATGCGGAATTTGAATCGATTTTTCAAAGAAATTTTTTGAGTCTTAAAAAAACTTTTTTCTGAGTTTCTGAGTGCAGAATTTAAGCTTGTTTTCAGAGAAAACCTTTGAGTTTTTGATAACTTTATCATCATCAAGACATCAATTAAAGCACATGTTCCTATAAAGGCAATAATGTAAACAAATCCCCGCTAATGTAAATATCAACAACCTGGGAGAGAAGTAGAAAAAATGTAATACTTGAGAAAACAAAAGAATAAAGCCATGTAACTTTTGTAATCTTATAGAGTACATTTAGCACTATTTGAATCAAAATCGAAAGAAAAAAATTTGGATCCGTTTTCGTGAAAATCTTTGTTATTTTTTAATAATACACTGCGCAAAAACTACAAAACATTTTCAAAAAAATGTAGAGTATCTTAATGAAAGAACAAATTTAATTTGTAGGAAGACTCTGTCTTCAATTTTGAAGTTGTAGGAAGACCCCGAAAAAGTTCAAACTTGTAACTATCGAAAATTTATTGGCAACAATGAAAATCGGACCTCTTCCACATTTATAAGTGTATTTTACTCTATTATTACTAGAAACTTAACAGAAAAAATTAGAAACATTTTTGAGAATATTTTGAAAATGTTCCTGGGGCTTCATGTAAAGTAACCCCAAATTTTAAAGAATGTTTCCCAATATCACAGCGCTTTGAGTCGGGCCAGATAGACAGAGAAATATCCGTTTTGGAGGGGAGAAAAAAACGTATGGTTTATGCACTTGTGGTGTTCACAGATGGGATGTTGAAAAAAACAACACTTTTTGTTATCAGGGCACTCCAAAACGTGTATTTCCTTTGAAATCACGAAATCTATTTTCGCCGCATTACATTATTCTTTATACTACATATTTTACTCAATGTGCAAGTACGTATGTGGGATTGTAAAAATAGTCACTGAGTGCATCTAATATTGCCTAAAATATTCTAAAAGGCATTTTAGACCCAAATAAGATTAATGATAATGGTATTAACAACAATGAGAATAATCAATGACTTGACAGTAACATTGATATCAAAATGTGTTCTCATACCATATGGTACCACACTGCTAACAGATTAAGCACCTCCTTATTGCTGAATGTCCATACAAATGAAATGAGTTTCTGCAATGTACAAATGTGCAAGCAATAGTTATGTGTAACACCCTCATCACATCATCACTCACCACATTACCTTCACACATATCTTTTTTATCTCTTAAACTCTAAACATTGTTATTATTAGTTCATGTATTTAAATCATATTAATGTAATGTTTTTAGGAAGCTGTTGAATTTTTTCTCTCCTCTCTCCCCCTTTCTCCTCTCTCTCTCCCCCTCTTTCTCCTCTCTCTCTCCCCACCTTTCTCCTCTCCCTCTCCCACTTTTCTCCTCTCCCTCTCCCACTTTTCTCCTCTCCCTCTCCCACTTTTCTCCTCTCTCTCTCTCTCTCTCTCTCTCTCTCTCTCTCTCTCTCTCTCCCACCTTTCTCCTCTCTCTCTTCTCGTATATGGAGTGAGATAGATAAGATGTTTGTTTTTGGTAGTTCGTAATGATTTTCAACTGGTATTTTTTTAATTTATTTATTTATGAAATAATAGAAAGATCGGTTCATAAAACCAATATACAGTTTCAAACATACTGAGAATTCTATACTTTAATGTTCGGGCTATTAAGAAATGGGGAAAAAATATGTTTATTTTAGAAGGTGTCGTGGCAAGCAGACAGTTGTAAATTATGGTTTGACGGTGTCATGATTTTGGGTCCTTGATGTCATCGTTCCATCCCGTGGAACAGAAAGCAAACTGATATTCAGGTTTATGAGTGTATATGTGGAGAGTATAAAGAAAATATACCAGCCAAATGGTTTTTAAGATGAGTATTTGCATAAAACTATAATTATGCATAGGACAGACTCACCGACGCGAGGGCGAACGCACTAGCCTCTTTATCGTTTATTTTCTTTATAACTTTGCTTTTCCCTTTTCTCGCATTCTTTTATGTTCTATTAAATGGATGTCTGGTATTTATTGAAAGTCTGTCTGTACATTTTTGCATTTGCCATTCGACCAAGGGAATCACTTCTTAGTTTCCTTAAAAATTTTGGTATTGTTTCAGTTACTATGAAAAAATTGAGAAACTGACAGATTTTATCTGTTAGGAAAAATGGAAGTTCTTCTTCCAGCATTTTAATTTCTTTAATTTTTGTTGAAAATATCTTCTTTTAAATTTAAAAGTTGACTTCATGGCATTTGCATCTTGAGGTATAATTTGTGCTAGTTAATACTGAGGTATGATGAATAATGATATGGGGAAAGGTTCATTTCCATGTAGATCCTATTTGCCTTCGAAGCAATAGAAGAGGTACATAAAGAGTTCAGATCAATAACACTGATTATTTTGTGTGTATTGTTAATATTGTTATACTAAATTAATTTTTAAGTATCAATATGTTATAATCAATGACCTGATTTTCATGTAGTGTAACTCCCTAAAATGTGCAGTAAAAACTTTGAAATATGCAATAAAAAAATCAAGACTTTGCAAAGCTTGTTATGTAGCCTAAAAACTCCAATTAATCCACTATCAATTAATTTTTATATTTTGAATAAGATATTGAAGGTTTCTGAAATATTATAATTTTAGTGTTATTATAATTAAGTTTTTACGTATTGTTTACACAAACCATATTTGACATTTTAAATATTATTCACACACAAAACTAAATTAGCATAAAGCACAAAAAAGTAAATGCAAAAATTGAAAAATGCAAATATACCTTCAGAAATAAAAAATAATTAAGTTACAGAAGCAATGTTCTTAATTGTTTTCATTATAATCTACAATTATTAATATTTCTAAATTATTTGCTGAGAAATTATAAATCTTCTATCAACTAATATGTTCCAGACAGTTGTTCGACATTTAATTTATACTTGTCAGTGTACCGAGCTTCACTCTGAATTAAGTGATCACTGCTAAAAACAGTCCAAAACTATTTTCATTCTCTTTTGAACCTACCAGGGCTAAGTCTCTCCCAAGAAATTCGATAAATTTGAAAAACAGTGCAGCATTATGCCTGGATGTAGGTCCAATGTGACTTGCGCATGCTGTCTTGTTTCAGTAAGTCAGCAAAGACTGACAAAATGGATATAAGATCCGATTGCGAAGGTAAATCCTAAACGTAGCATTTGCTGAGAGGCTGCAACATGGTTTGCGGATGTATCCCTACTGCAATAACCCAGAAATTTTAATTAGACAATAGGCATCATGAAAGGTATATATGCTCAATTCATAGGGCAACAAAATGCTGAATTAATACATATTAAACAGAACTCGGATTTCACAGATCACCCAAATGCACTGCTGGGTTATGTCATAAAAACATTTTTCTTAAATGAAACATTTAAGAAATATTAAAACAAGTGGATAATAAAATTAAATATTTTATGCAATAAAACTATTCATCCAGTAAAATACCAAAAAGTGCAATTTTCAGGTAGCTTAACCTAAAACGTGTTATTTCATGCAAAATAAAACACGTACTAAAATAACATTCTTTTCATGATTCAAATTTCTGTCAAGGTTTCATCCAACTTCAAATTAGCACTGAAAAGATGCATAAACACAGGAATCCAATCTTTAATTATAATAGTAGCATGCAGCTGTTTCCAATAATAAGAGAACAAATAAGCTTATTACAGCATCACTGCTATTAATTTGATTTTTCAGAGTTCCACTAATACCTACTTAGGGTATTCATACATCCTGGAAAATACATAATCATCCAGTTTTTCCTGTTGGTTCTGTTGACCTGAAAATCTTTGTCAGGATGCTGAAAGGTCCTGTATTTACCTTCTTGTTTTTTGCTAACGGAATAACTAAAAAACTACTAAACATCATTTTGGGCTACAGATTATGCCAGAAAACAAACAAAACAACATTAGTGCCACATCCTTTGCACATCTCGGAGGTTCAAGGACTATTTAATGTTTACATCCTTATCATTCCAAACATTCTGAAGTAAAACTTCTTTTTCATTTATTATTTGAATATGGTGAAACAACGTATGACAACAGTTACCACATTTGAAATAAAATCAGTGATCTTTGTCTATGAGATTATATTTTTTCTATTTACAGTAGATTTCATGTTAATTGCTAGTAAAAATCAAGACGACCTTATTTTCTTCTGATTTCGATAAAATTTCCCACCTAGCACTTCAAATCTACATTTTACAGCAATATCCTCATAATAGATGTTGCAGAGAATTTTACTTTCAATTAGTCATAATTTAGTATTCTATCATTAAATGATTTTATTATGATTTTTTTTTTTTTTTTTTTTTTTTTTCATGCACATACTAAAATTTTGGAAGTGCACTTTTTCTTATTTCACTCCACAACAGCAAAATTACAGTTACATTCCAAGGACATGACTCCTATTGATCAGTGTTGTAATAAAAATATAAAAAAATGAAAATATCTACTTGATGCATGCCTTTTGTGATTTCGCAACCCCTTAATAACTAAAATTTGGGTGTCCAATATGTTTGTTAAAAATATGACATGAATCCTGTAAATACTGCCACCATTCCACTGCTTTGCTTGTTTTGAACTGGTCTGTTTCACAATTACCTACCATTTCAATATTAATACATAAAACGTAACAAAATTAGTCCCTAAAATAACATCATGCAACACATTAGTTTTTTTAGTATCACATTGTAGTCTACTTGGAAAACCAAGCGAAGTGAAAAGATAACATTTTTTCTGCTACTGTTGTTGTTGTTGTTATTATTATTATTATTATTAATTATTATCATCATCATCATTATTATTTTTATTATTTTCTTACATTTTCCCATTGTGCCATTAACTCTTGTTTTAAATTTCAATTCTGAAATAAGTGTAATTAGTCTCTATAATATTGCGATTTTGGAGGCTGCTGTAGCCGTTGATTTTACGGGAGTTTTGTAATGTGTTAGATAGGTCTGTATGATTTCTCTCCTGATAATGTTTCCGTGAAGAAAAAATATCTTTTACTTCTTTATTGTCATCATTACCACCACCATCACAAACGATGTGTTGAATGCCTTCAAGCAACTGAACTATCTGTGCATCCATCTGTCTCTAAAACAGTCCTCATTCGTGATAAATGAAAAAAAGTCTTATAAAAATTCCTCTTCTTACTTAGTGATTAAACAAATTGAAATATATGAAGACTGTGGAGAAGCAGGAAAAGGACTGGAGAATGACAAGTGTGAGCTGTACGTCAAACTAACCTTTTTGCCTCCAAAGCTTAGTAATAATAAAATTGATATAGGGAATGAATTTAACTTACTAACAATCTGGGTCCATCGTAAAAATTATTACAATTTTTGAACTACAGGAATAAATATAACACCTTTCTTGGGAAAGATCTCCCAATAACCTGATGAACCAGATCCCTTTACAACAAGAATACATTTGCACATACAGAAATATCGACCTTCAGCACGTACAGAAATATCGACAGGAATTATATGTCATATGTTTGCTGTGATGAATATGTCACACTCGTCCTTAGAGGGTTAAATAAAAAGGTAGTTGCTCAGCAGACAATATAATAATTAATTCTACAATCATGTAATATAAAATCAATTAGTTCAAAATCACAATTGAAATAACTTTTGTGAACTGAAGTTCATCAGTAATTTAGCAAAAGTCATTGAAGTTGACAAACGAATATTCAAGGTAGCATTATGAGACATAAGCATATCAAGAAGCATTGTGCCACAGGTTATTTCAGCAGTTCACTTTGCTAATGTTTCCTCTTGTAGAATTACCCTACTAATTTGGGTAATAATTCATTTCAGTTTTTGGTGTTATTTAATAATGATGTTTTAGCCTAGAATACATAACTATTACTATAAATTTGTCTCTTTGTGAACGGAATCTTGTACAGTACATGAAATATTAGTGTTTTTGTTAGTTAAAGCAATGTAAGGTTAGATTGTCAAGAAATAATTATTTTTTATTTCAGAAAGGACACTGGAAAAGCAGCTTCTGATGAAGAAGAAGGTGAGCTGGGTGAAGAAAAGGAAGGAGAACTTCATCCACTTGTTACTGTAACTCAGATAAACCCAGAAGAAATTCCCGATGTGCCTCCTAATCGTTTCTTATTCAGAGGAGATAATTCTGCAAAGAAAAGTAAAGAGGAGAAACCACCCGAAAGGCGTAGACGACCAAGAATACGTGGTGTTACCAAGAGTGGACGACTCATTAAAGGAAGAGGTGTTTTTGTAAGTACATAAACAGAAAAACATAATTTTACAAAGAAATTTTGGAACTATTTATTGTACTTCATGTCAGTTATTACTTTTCTTATGAAAACTTATCATTGTTTCAGAGGGGGTCGTCTATAAAAAACTTTAAGCTAAAGGGGGGTAAGAGCATGCAGCAGCCTAACAATACGTTGCATAGGGGCAGGGGGGTGTGAATTAAGGGTGATGTAGTACTGATATTTTCAGGGAATAATGATTTGTAGATGGAATATTTTCTCATGGTTATAAAATTATATTATTCCTAAAAACATGTGCAGTGTTATGTTTTGCTCAATTTCTATTGTTTATTCTTTTAAATTTGAAAATATCATGGAGAAATCAGACATTTTAGTTTCAACCTTACTTTAAAATTTTCTTTAAATTGCATGAAATTCTCTACAAATCATTTCAGTGAAAAGTTTTTAAAGTGCTCTGGAAAGTGGAAGGGAAATTTGTTTCAAGAAATAAGTGGCCATCCCGTGTAAACTTCATTTTCAGTTATTGTAAAATAGGTCAGTAAGTGGGTGGGGGAGGGTTGTTGTAAGTTTTACATAATTATTTATGGGGGATCAAACATGGCCAGGAGCATTTCTTGGAGAAGATGGGTACCCAAAACTATATGTTATCTACTCATTATGTAATTTATGGACAGCTCCAAACTTTTTTCTTTTATCTCTTACCTGACTTTCTACTGAAGTGTAGATTTGCTTATTTCTAAATTGAATGTTAAGAATAAATTCCGTGGTGGTAACAGATATCTTGTGGTAATTCATAATATGGTAAAGGAAATAATCTCCACAAAAGTTTTAATAATTTTACAGAGTTAACTTTCAGGAAAACACTTTTCTTATCCTCAATGGATCTTGCCTAAGCAACGTGGATCTCCCATGAATGTTCATATTTTTTACTATGTTGTAAACATTCATGGGAAATCCACGTTGCTTGGGCAAGATCCACTGAGGATGGGAAAAGTGTTTTCCCGAAAGTTAACTCTAAAAAATTATTAAAACTTTTGTGGAGATTATTTCCTTTACCATATGTATGTTAAGAAGTATGCTGCCTAATGTTATTTTTTTTAAAATTGTTTTCCAAACCTTCTGTATTTATATTTTCAATTGCTAAATAATAAATCCTTGCCTCTTGAAATTGCTCTGTTATTTGCCTTTATTTAGGATGAACACTTCTGGAAAACATGAAAGTTTGAAAATTTCATTGAACTGGAAAAGTTAGGGAAAACTGGTAGTTTTAGATGAATTTTTAGATGTTAAACCAAATTAGAATTAAACTTTTTGAGCAAATTTGAAACTAGATATTATTCCTTAAATAACTTTGGTTCATTATTTCTTTTTTAGCCCAGCTTACATTTAGTAAGCAAATATTCTTAACTCTGACTTTATAAATTCAAAATTGGAAAGGTAAAGTGAAAGGTATAGACATTTTTTGTGTTACCTACATGTGATATAACTCAAGGGCGTTATAAACTGATGCAGAATTATTGATATTTTGTTTATATTGCAGTTTTCTTGTAAGTTCTTTTATTTGTACACATCTAAAAATGTAGAATAACAGGATTAAATGAGTAATCAAAGATTATTCACATTTATCTATGCATGCCTATATTTGTTTATCATAATAATTTGACAATTATTCAGATGAAGGGATGGACGTAAATGTACCTTCTCTATGCGTATGTTTGGTTGAGCTCCAGGTTTGCTAGTTGCTGTAAGAGGAGGTCTGAGGGGTGTGGGTTTTGTTAGAAGTATTAGAAAATCAAATCTGTTATTCATTTTTCAGTGCATGTAAGTTTTCTATTACTGGCAGGTAAAAATTTCTAGTATTCACTTGTTGCCGACCATGGTCATTGGTACCGTTTATTCATAATTGAAGTATGCATAGTGAAAGAGAGAGGGTAAGGATTCTGGAGCTAAAGGACATGTGAACATATTGTACTACTCTCCCTGGTTTCACATACTGTTTTTATTGTTTTTGATGATAAATAAATGTAATAAAAAACTTCAGTGTGCCAAAATTTAAAAAAAAAAAAAAAAAAAAAAATCTTGAGGAAACTATGTTAATAAGTATTGATAATAAAGAAATTGTTTCTTCATTTTAGAATTAAGTTTTTCAGTGTGGCATACAAAATGTTAAAGCTTTAGATGATATTAATAAGTAATTCCGAAGTAAAAATAAATAAATTTATCAATCTGAACTACTACTCTGTTATTGTTAGTATTTTCTTTAATTATTATTTTTCATTTTTAAGTGTTTTTCTTTTTGTGAAGTTGTACATGCATTAGTTATTATTATTAAAATAAATGTTCCAAAACTTAAGTTTTTACCTGTTAAAATAATATGTAATTTTTCATTCAGATTTTGAAACATGATAACGTATATGGATGGAAACACTTTTGTACTTTTAGAATTCTAGTTTTTCTTCTTATTTCAACAGAGGTATCGTACACCATCTCGCAGTCGGTCAAGAAGTGTGACACCTCCACATTGGAAGCAAGCCCAACAGAGGACTATCAAACTCAGTGAATATGAAGTGAGTGTTTTTTTTTCCCTCTCCCTTTCTATCGCTCTCTCTCCCTTTCTATCGCTCTCTCTCCCTTTCTATCGCTCTCTCTCCCTTTCTATCGCTCTCCTCTCCCTTTCTTATCGCTCTCTCTCTCTCCCTCTTCTATCCGCTCTCTCTCTCTCCCTTTCTATCGCTCTCTCCTCCCCCTTCTATCGCTCTCTCTCCCCTTTCTATCGCTCTCTAATCCCCCTTTTCTAATCGCTCTCTCTCCCCCTTTCTATCTCTTCTCTCTCCCTTTTCTATCGCCTCTCTCTCTTCCCTTTCTATCGCTCTCTCTCTCCCTTTCTATCGCTCTCTTATCCCTTTCTATCGCTCTCTCTCCCTTTCTATCGTCTCTCTCCCCTTCTAATCGCTCTCTCTCTCTCTCTCCCTTTCTATCCTCTCTCCTCTCTCTCTCCCTCTCTTCCTTTCTGATCGCTCGCTCCCCTTTCTATCGCTCTCTCTCTCTCTCTCTCTCCCTTTCTATCGCTCTCTGCTCTCTCTCTCTCTCTCCCTTTCTATCGCTCTCTCTCTCTCTCCCTTTCTATCGCTCTCTCTCTCTCTCTCTCCCTTTCTATTCGCTCTCTCTCTCTCTCTTCTCTCTCCCTTTCTATCGCTCTCTCTCTCCCTTTCTATCGCCTCTCTCTCTCTCTCTCCTTTCTAATCGCTCTCTCTCTCTCTCCCTTTCTATTCGCGTCTCTCTCTCTTCCCCCTTTCTATCGCTCTCTCTCTCTCTCTCTCCCCCTTTCTATCGCTCTCTCTCTCTCCCCTTTCTATCGCTCTCTCTCTTCTCTCCCCCCCTTTCTATCGCCTCTCTCTCTCTCCCCCCTTTCTATCGCCTCTCTCTCTCTCTCCCTTTTCTATCGCTCTCTCTCCTCTTCCTTTCTTCGTCTCTCTCTCCCTTTCTATCGCTCCTCTCTTCATCCGCTCTCTCTCCCTTTCTCATCGCGTCTCCTCTCTCTCCCTTTCTATCGCTCCTCTCTCTCTCCCTTTCTATCGCCTCTCTCTCTCTCCCCTTTCTATCCTCTCTCTTCCCCTTTCTATCGCTCTCCTCTCTCCCCCTGTCTATCGCTCTCTCACTCTCTCTCTCCCCCCTTTCTATCGCTCTCTCTCCCCCTTTTCTATCCTCTCTCTCTCCCTTAATCTATCCGCCTCTCTCTCTCCCCTTTCATCGCTCTCTCTCTTCTCTCTCTCCCTTTCTATCGCTCTCTCCCCCTCTCTCTATCGCTCTCTCCCCCCTCTCTCTATCGCTCTCTCTCTCTCTCTTTTTCTCTCCCTCCCTCCCTCCCTCCCTAATATTCTGTAAAGCATTAGCTTAAGTGCATTCATTTATTTATTCTTGGTCTTCAACTTTTGACAAGCAGGTTTATAATTTTAAGCACTTTTAAAACATTAAATTATAAAAAACTGTTATATAGTTACAAGATTTACTTGATGCAACATTTTGTGTAAAGATTTTTACCCATCTTCGTGCCAAAAACAATAATCATTTTGTAGTATAATACAATAAATTTTTTTCTTGAATCTTCTTCCATAATACTAAATTAAAAATTCAGAAACTCGGCAAATGAGTCAAAATTGCTTTAAAAAACGATAAATATGGTCTGTTGATTTTTCCATTGTAATGTAATAGAACATCCAATAAGGTCTCTTGTTGTAATGACTGTTTGGATATTACAACTTGTGTCTCTGAGACAGAAGGAAATTTGATTTGTGGCTCTTGAACTCATTGTTGTTTTGTTTAGTTGATAAATGACCAATGGTAAAGTGTGTTGCAGCATAATGTGTTTTGAAGGTACTTGTGTGCTTAATGAATCGAATATTCCATAAGTCAGTGATTAATGATCCATAATATTCCATAACCATATTGACTAGAAAATTACCTTGGTAATGACAACTAAGCCATGAACTATCACTTTCTTGTTTCTTAAAATCATCATAATCACAGTTTTTGTCACTACTCTCATCATCTTCACATGTATTAATGTTTATGCCTGTTTGGTTCTCCTCCCGTGCCGCGACATCTTCTAACTTTGTAGGTCCCTCTGAACGTTTTGCTCATTGAATTTGCATTGTTCTTAGTTTTTCATCAGATGCCACCAAAAACACTGCTTTCTGTGTCACTAGATTTTCTATCTGCCCGTACGTGTTGATGTTCTGTTTCTTTAACAGTTCAGACCGCAGATTCCCATTCACTGGACATCGAACCGAGAATCCTTGCAGCGTTGTTGAACCCTCAATAACAACCGCGGCATGACATACCATAAACCATAACAATCTCGACATTCATTTTCATGTTATGTGTCATTTCATAAAATGCCATTTGTTTCAGAGTGTTTTTACCGGCCTATTAAAAATATTGGTGTGAATTGGATGGCAAATTCGCAGTAGATGTCGAGAAGGCACAATATTTGTACCGTATTTGTAGATTATTGTTATGTATATTATGTTTTTCTTTGTTTTCAGGGCATTATTAAAGCATTTTAAGAGCATTTTATTGATAATTTTTCAGCAATGTTTTAGGTCAGCAAAACCCGCCCCCTAGTGATGATGAGAGATGTGAATCACATCATTGGCCATCTATGCATCAAAGACGTTGTTTTTGTATATAAATTAGGTTTTGAGAAACGTGGTATGATCAGTTTTTGATAATTTGCAATATAATTATTGTTTTACATAACTATTACTAATTGTATAAGGAAATTTTCATTTTGTAGCTCTACTAGTTCAGAAATGTTTTTTTCTATAGTGCTTTCAAACAACAGTATTTATATACGATTGTTATAAATTGCAAGATGTTTTCTTTTTATGAAATTCAACTTGTGTAATTAGATAATGATTGTAAGTATACAGTAAGTAGTAGTATACATTGAATTGCAATTAAAAGTAATGTGGCATGATAGGAAACTAAAACTAGTTGCTAAAAAACGCATCACTTACTATAGGTTTGGGGGGAAGTGTTAAAGTATTACTCTTACACATTTTCTTGAACAATAGATTGAAGAAATGCAGGTAGATTGGGGGTATTAGTTATAAAATCGATCACCAGATTTTATGAAGCAAAGCCAATCTCTGGAGTATCAGTCATGCCTTCGCAAGTCTCTGAATAATTTATTCTAATTTTCTCAGGAGTTGGAGATATCTCCTGTGATGGATCTTCACGTGCTTTGGTAGTTTCTTAGTGTGCAACAATTGGGAACCTGGTGATCAGGGTAGTGGGAAAATGATCCTACAACAAAATATCGTTATGAAGCCTTATTCAAGAAGAAACTTTTTCCACTGAATATCTTTTGTACAAACCAACAAGTTTTAAAGCATATTTACTGAGATGTATAGATGTTCTCTTCATTTCCAGCTTTTTGTCCATTTTTCACTGCAGCGTTCTAAAAACGGGTTCCTTAAATGTTGATTCTGTTATTTTGATGCAAGTGAAAATGAAAGTCGGCGGGTTCAAACTCTATATTGAAGCTGTGGATTTTTAAGGGCGAAAAAATCCTTCGTTCACTTTCCTTCTGGAGGGGAAGTAAAGCCGGCTGGCCCATGTTAGTAGATTTACTTGCATGTAAAAGATCAAGCCTAAATGGCACCTCTGAGCTAAATTGAAATTGCCTGTTTCTCGCCCAAGAAATACCTTCTTTCTCTGTTAGTTGTTGAAAGGAGCATAGCGAAATTTGCATGGTCAGACGGAAGAGCAGACCACATGGCCTGAGTCTCGCCACGTAAAATAAGGCATAAATTCAATTGAATTCAATTCAATTCAATACGAAAAGTACTTATGGGAGATGATTGGAAAACCTGAACACAATCCCTCTAAATCAAAGTGAATGTTTATTAGAATAATACTAACTCTTCCTGAATGAATATTACTTTTTCTTTATTTCTCAATGTCTCCAGTTCAATATGGGATTTTCTGCTACAGATTCGTAAGATTCAGGATACTTGGCTTGTTTCTTATAAATTGGGGTCTTGTTGAAACCAAATTATTACTTCAAGGTTGTCAATCTAGATCTTGGTGAGATACATGGCATCTTTGAGGTTTCTTCAAAGAAGTGGTCACACTTAATGTTGTGGTGGGTTTTGGGTGTCATGTGCTCCAGTATCGATTTTTACCTCCTGGACCTTGCTTTAAATGATTACTGCTTCTTTGCTGCTTAAAAAGCACAATTTTCAGTCACAATTTCTCTTGAAGGAGGTGTGACCAACGTGCAATTTCACCAAGACCTAAAATATGCATTAGTTCTATTTTTAGTTTTGAAGGGTAATAGTTTAATTAAATTCCATAGAATATTAAAGGATATAGTGGTAGAGTAAATAGGAGTAAAGAAAGATACTAGGTAGAAATAATTTATTGTAGGAAATTCTTGTTTTAATTTTAACTGGTGTATGTTAATTAGGAAATATGGTGTTACTAATCAGAGATAATAAAATATAGGATTTAGTCTTAACATCAGATCCCAAGTTTCTATGAGACAGGTATAATAAATATTATAAAGTGCTGGAATAAATATTTGAACAGATTGGGAGACTATGTGGAGACAAATATTGAAATATTGTAGATATCATCAAGTAGGTAATATTTTAATATGCACTGAGGGAGTTAAAAATGCATGATGTAAATGATTAAAAAAACATAAATTATTGTATTATAATAGAAATTAATGATTGTTTTTGCCAGAAGATGGGTGAAATCAGTACCTAAACGATACATAATTTTTGCCTTTTAACGATAATTTTGATATTGTGTAACAAATAAGTGTACATCAGCTTGTTGCTGCTTCCATAAATTAAATAAATAAAAAATGTGATAGTATTCAGAAACATGTCAATTCAAATTGCAGTGTGAGAAGAAATAGTTTTAAACAAAAATAAAACTATCATGTAAATATATAACTTTTTATAGTTTGTGTCAAAAAATTGAAGACCAAGAAGAATGTCATAATAGAATTTGAATTAAAACACGAATTAATGTCAATTTTTTTCAACAATTCCTAGAGGGTCTCTGTACCTGAAAGAATCTGTTTGAAGCCATCATTAATTCCAGCTTTGATGTGTTGAAACTTGTGACCTTTTTCTTGATCTATTTAAAAATGAAAACTTTGTGTGTTATTGTCTGGAGCATTCTCCATCTATTCTGTTTATTTTATATTTGATATTTTGATGGAGGTAGTTAATTGTTTTAAATTTGTTAAAAATATTTTAACTGCACAAACTGTTATCTCTCAAATGTTCATCTCTCGTAAAGAAATGCAAGATTAAAACTTTTGCTCACGCATTTGTAGTTTTTCTTTTTGTGTTGAATCAATTGTTGCTATTATTATTTTATATCCACACTTCACAGTTTGTGTTCATGTATTTTGAGCAGATTTGGGTTAAGATCATTATTCTATTACCTTGTGTTTCTCATCAATAATCTTTTCTGTTTCATTATTAAATACTTTACTATTTCAATTTTTATTTTTTTATTTATTTTTTTATTTTAATTTAATTTAATTTTTTTTATTATATAGCCAATGATTGTATGCTGAACCTTTAATTTTTTTGTTATAACTGCATTAATGGTCATATTTGAAGTTTAAATTAATATATCATTATTTTGGTGGGGGAAAAAAAAATAATTTTACTATAATTTGTTTCAGAAGCAAGAACGAGAACGAAAAAAGCGAGAAGAAGAAATAAAACGACGTGAAGAGGAGCGTAAAAAGCGACATATGGAGCGTGACATGCAACAACGACATGCTGATCGGGATAAACCTAATGAGCAGCATGAAAGAGACAAAGAGAAACGGTGAGATTTTAATTTTTTTTTAGCCTTGTTTAAGCTTTATTTTTTATATTGTAAATACCTATGGGAGACATATCTTCCTTTTGAATTTGTCCTTTTCATATTCAGTGAATTTGATTAAAATTGCAGGAATGAAGGAGAGACTGTGGTGCAGACATCTGAGCCTGAAGATGGTGAAGTTCAAACAAATATTACCAATATAGATAATGATATGCCACCAATGTCAGGACAGGGCCCTGTTGACTACAATGCATTGGATTATGAAACAATGGATGGAGGTGTGTCTGATAAAGAAGAAGAAGAAAAGAAAACAAAAAATACTCCATTAAGTGGTGTTATTCACAAAATTATCTCAAAGAATGTTGATGATAATGATTTGCAGAGGCCTAAGGGAAAACAGCTAAGTCCTGTGGGAGGTGATACAAAGAAAGAAAGGGACAATTTACCTAGTGATGGTGTTTTGAATCCTGGATTAAATGTTCCAACTGCTGAACCAAATGTGAGTGTGGAAAATAGACGATTAACTGCAACACTTGATAATTCCCATCTAGAGAAACAAAAGAATTCCTGTGAAGCAAGTATTACAGAAAAATCTGAGTCTCGAAAAGAAGAAAGGGTGAAAAGTTCAGGAGAACATAAGGAAGTTAAAGTAACGCAATTTCGTTTTCATGAGCGTAATCGGGATTTTGATAGAGGTAGACGTTACAGCAGAGATAGACGATCAAAATCTGGAGAGAAACGTCGATATCGAAGTAGATCAAGATCTCATGACTATCGAAGACGTGAGAGAGAACATCAGGAACGATCTCGATATGATTATTCTCGTAATAGAGATCCTAGAAAAGGCAAATATGATGTTAGAGATGGTAGAGGAAAATCAAATGGATCTTCTAGAAAAGATTTTGATGAATCTGATGATGACAGAAAGAGACGATCTGAGAAAGACAAGGACAAGGAGAGGGAGAAAGACAAGGACAAGGAGAGGGAGAAGGACAAAGACAGGGAGAGGGAGAAGGACACAGACAAGGAGAGGGAGAAGGACAGAGACCAGGAGAGAGTGAGGGACAAAGACAAAGAGAGGGAGAAGGACAAAGACATAGAGAGGGAGAAGGACAAAGACAAAGAGAGGGAGAAGGACAAAGACCAGGAGAGAGTGAGGGACAAAGACAAAGAAAGGGAGAAGGACAAAGACAAAGAGAGGGAGAAGGATAAAGACAAGGAAAGGGAGAAGGACAAAGACAAGGAAAGGGAGAAGGACAAAGACAAGGAAAGGGAGAAGGACAAAGACAGGGTGAAGCCTAAGGATACAAAGGACAAAAATCAAGTAAATGAAAATGCAGTAGGCCCAAAAGGTGTTAAAGTTCATGACATGGACGACAAAAAAAACGTGAAAGAGGAAGGTCAGAAGAAGAAGGGTAGTAACAGGAATGAAAATAAAGATAAAGATCATTCTAGAAGTAAAGTCAGAAAAGCATTGAGACACAGGAGCTCTTCCTCATCTTCCTCCTCGTCTTCATCCTCCTCCTCGTCAACTTCATCTTCCTCCTCTTCTTCCACCTCCAGTTCAGAAAGTAGTCATCGCAGACGCCGCTCTTCTTCACGATCACGCCATGTTAGGCGCAGGTAATTGGGAATAAAAAGCCATGTCACTGTGAAAAAAAAATCAGTTTTATTTTACATTTTAGCATTGTTTAGAATTGGTGTTAATATATTTTTTGCCAGTTTGTTCTTCCCAGGAAGACATTCATGTAATTGCAGGATTTTGAATTGTAATTGAGATGTGATTGCATACAAAGTAGTAGTAAATAGTCTGTCTTGAAATCATTACAACTTTTCTACATAAATGCTCACTTAGTCAATTTTTTGTTTAAAATTGTTTCCTACTGCTTAATGATGCAAATGTAAAATTATTAAAATCATTAAAATCACATTTAATACACCTTATTGGCCTTTTATTTCATTTTTCATGATTTTCATATCATGTATTACCTTTCTGTAGAAAAATTCTTATCCTTAGATTATTAAGTGTTTTAGTATTGTAAGAACACGTAATTCCCCAATTTAGTACTGGAATGGGTGCGCTTACTGATGGACTTTCAAAGTGCGGAAATGCCCTAATAAAAATTAATAAAAGCATTTTGAATTGACCGCCAGGATATTCAACCAATTACAGAAGAGAGCCAGTCGCAGGGTGTGACTAGGTTAAGAGAATAGCCGCGGAAGCGGATGAAGAGACTACTCGACACGCATTGAATAATGTATCCATCCGCGCAGTTGAGTTGTATGGCGTATTTAGACGAAGTTTTTCTGTGAAATTGTCCCGATGAGTGTAAATTTATGGCGCCGAGAGTATTTCTGCTCAGCATTCTGTTTACAGTAGGATTATTGGCGGGACAGAATATCGGTGAGTACACTCTTCCCTCACGGCATTCAGGTTGGTTGCGCGAGTAAACATTTGGTTGTGTTGTGCAGTGTATTCCATATAAATTGCTAGTGAATCCAACATGGCTGCTTGAGTTGATCTGTCTTCCGACGACTTTAATGTCGTTTACTTTGTTGAAAAATGCTAATAACTTGATGTAGAAACTTTGTAGTTTTACATCTCATGAAGACAATCCCATAAAAACCTTATCTTCGGGCTGGTGCTACGCGTTCATGCTGTCAGTATCGAAACATGAACATGTTCCTATGTTGTTGATACACAATTTTCTCATTTAGTTGTCGTATTAAATGCTGTAGTGAAAAATATACACTGCTTTTACAGACATGGTGGTATACTGAATTCGTTCGGGCAAATTTGTTTTCAGAGAAACTCACATTCAAAGTTGTGTTTAGTTCGTTGCGTAGCAGTCATGTGCCCCCCTTTCATTATGTTAAAAGTCATAGTATGTTACCGTTTTCCACAGGATAATCGCATATGAATTTGAGAAATGCAATGTACAGGCACGTGTATAGTGTAAATCATTTGAACGACGACTTGAATTGCCTATTAAGCCGTGAGTTTTATTCACTTGGTGGTAAACTATGCTGCGGCAGAATTGCCGATGTTTGTTTATGGGTTTGTTTCAGTTTACGATGGCTTGCGGAATTTCAGTGCTGAATAACATAATGTTTATTTGATATTTTATGTTATGATTAATTCCACAAATTTAGAGTAAATTTTGTAATATTGATTGCTGCGGTGAAATGATAGTGGAGACAACTTGTATCGAAGTAATTGGTTTTGTGTGTTGATTTTCCGGTAACTTAAATTTCATTTGAAGTGTAATTTTTTGTTCGCTTTGGCATTGATGTAACTCAGGAAATTGGATTTGTTTGTATACAAGCTAATATGCCGACATGGAAGTGTGACGAGAATTGGTCGGTCGAGATACGCCACAAATTGACTTGTGGACAGAATCAATAAGCATTTATCGTGCAATTTTTCGAAACCATAATAGGCATTCAATGGGCTTGACTACCCACAGAACAATGTAATAATTGAATAATTGCAACCTTGAGTAGTTCTTACTCCCGTGAACCCTCTGATGGCGGGATTAACGTTTGTTTACTTTGTAGAGTGGTTTTGTAGTTCCGTGACGGAAAACCGGAAACCCGTGACTGTTGGCTACACTGCTGGCGTGTCATGGACTCTTCGTAGAGGATCACATAGGGTAGTGCTTTCTGAAAACACTTGCAAGCATTGCTTTAAACATGATGCTGATCAAGAAACTAACTCTGGGAATTTCTGAAATATAACACCATTTCGTAGTTTTAACATTCCGATTAGCGTCGATGACGGAATTCCAAGATATTTTCATTGTTAATACATATGCATTTTATTAAAAGGATTAGGTACTACAAGATTGTCATGCAGTTATTAGGCTTTGATTTGAAGTCAATTAAAGGACTTGTGTAAATATTGGTCGATAAAATCAGGAGTTTGTCAATACCTGAGAAAAATCGTTTTTAAAAACTATTAGAAAAAAAATATATTTGGACAATGTTTTGTAAATGTCTCTGTTTTGTGTTTTTTAAACTCCTACAAGTATTATTTTGTTTTTAAATTTGGTTTTTACCTTATCCTGATTCAAGAGTTCTGAGCTCCAGCCAGGCCAACATACAAATTGAAGTTAATATAATGGAACTCTTGTTCTTAGTTGATTGGGCTTTGTGCCTCAAAATAAAATTGAGTAAATTGGATATAATGTGTTTGACATTATCCAACTATTTGGAGGTATGATGTGAAGGAATCCGAGCGTGATTGTTTCATGCGTCGGTTGGCCCCCTTCCGAAGGTCAAACTTCAGAGTGGTTTGTGTGCATCGATGTGATGCTGACAGGCAGAGCGAGCTGAAATGTATACCACTCTCAAACGCCCGTTCCGAATGTCACACATGTTACGATCACAGAAGAAAAATCGCATACTTTTTTGATATCGCAATTCTGATTTTTGTGACAGTAATGAATGCTTTTCTTTGCAATATGAAAATCGAGCAAAGTAAAAACAGATTGATGTTTTTGTGAACCATCATATTCGACTTTTTAATGGTGTTTGTCAATTTTCATAAAAGTAGTGATTAGCTAGGATGTATTGCCACTGGGTATAATCACACGAAAAGAAAGAAAAAACAACCAAAAAGCATTCCAGTATTTTTGCTACACAAAAAGTGAATCGTAATGCTGTTAATGGGTTAATTGTTGAATTCTTCTGTTAAGAGATTCTCATTTACCTAATGGAATTTTTGGTAAAAGTGTCCATAGTAAAGAACATTATTTCAACAACACAATTGCCGTAGTTTGTACATAAAAAATGAACAAAAAAATATGTATCACCAAATTGTAACCACCAGGTGTGAATACTATGAAAAATCTCAGATTTATTGCAGCAAAACAATTCTGAAATTGCTGTATTCAACTTAGTATACTATAGAATATATCGGGTCACAGAAGTATACAAGAGTGTATGTACGCTGGCGATATAATTACATATTAGCATATACTACATTGCGAAGCTTTTGATCCATAAATATTTTTCTAACCATCTGTACGTGGATGACGAAGGTTGATGTAAGTAATGTAGCACAATGTTAAAGGAGTTTAAGTTCAATATTTAAGTGCGTATGTTTTATGTCCTTGCTTTTAATTGCAATGTTATTGACGCAAGTAGGAAGTAATAAGAAATGCCAACCAACGTCACCTTTTTCCACAGCATTTATACCAATTTAATGGAAGCCCAACTATTTAATAACTGTATACAGTGCTTGATTTCTATAATTTGAGGTACCGGAACGCGTGACAATTTGATTATTTTTATATAAATGTATCGATTAATAATTATAAATTACCTTTATTCTAAATATGGTTTAAATTAATGCATACTGTAAATAACCGTATAATTATCTTTTTCACAACTTACTAATTTTATTTCATAGACGCAATTCATGCCAATGATGATTAAAAAGTCAAGTGCATTATATTTCTGTTAAGAGATTTTATTTAACGAAATTATGTTCCGACAAAATAGCAATGAGCATTTTATAAAAGTTTCCTCTATTTCAAAAATCTGTAGTTATTTCGCAGGCCAGAAATTTACTGATAAAATGTTCGTGTTAGCGGTTACTCATATATTGACATAATGAGAAGAACACAAAATTACATTTATCCTTCCAAGAATTTCATCGTATTTCAGAATGTAAATGTGGTTATACATACGCATTCATCTAAGTTGGTTCATCTAAAAACCAAAGTAATAAAGCATCTATTGTCTCGATGCTTTTTTTTATACCATATAAGTGTGTGTGAAAAAGAGAGAGTGTAAAGAAACACGCATAATTCAAATAAGGCGGAGGCCATTGCTTATTACGTCTAGCGAAACAATGTTTAAACCATTTTTTTATTAGAAAGCATTGAATTACGTTTTCTTCGCAATTGGACCTGACAAATGTAAACACGGTTGTGTGTATAGAAATATTACTCTAAGATGAAATATGTTTGACAGCTAATGCTGGCAACATTACTGTAGGTTATGTTGGTGATCAATCGGTGAATGTTTTTGTTTGCAGATTGCCCACTGGCAGTTGTTTTCTCCACTGCCTCCCGGTATATCATCATGCGTTTCATTTGATTTCCAACCTGTCAAACTGGTCTTTTTTAGAATAATTTCTCTATAATAGGGATCTGTTGGGAAGAAAACCTCTCGAAACGTTTCACCAAAAATGATAATTACGACTGACATAATCGGTGGCTTGGGAGGCAGAGGCTGCAAGCGAAGGGAGGCTGAGCGGCGCTCTCCGAGGAGGGTTCGCTTTGCGGGCGCGGATGCGCCCGCGCCGCAGCTCTCCTCGGACGAGCGGCAACACGTGGGGCGGGCGGAGCGCTGAGGGGTGCCAGGAGCCACGCCCCGCACGCCCTATTGATCCGCGCCGAGTGGGAGCGCAATCGCCACCCTGGCCCTCGCCCTCTCGCCGTCGTAGCATCATTATCACAGCCATGACCCACCTCCTCGCCAGCTCTTCTGCCTCTCTCCGTGAAGGGGCGCGTGCACGTGCCGTGCACCGTAGGTGGGTTGACAGGATCAGTGAGGAAAGATTGCGTCGCTGCAGCATCTGCGATTCTCTACTTCGCTCATAAAAAAGGAGATGAACGTGTTTTTGTCCAGGAAATCCATATTATACGCATTTTTAATCTTTGATCAGTTCATTATCCGGAAAATTAAGTACAAATGGCAGTGGTTTTACAAAAAATGTGTAAGGCAATTGTTTTTACTTTAAAAGACAGTTAACGCATTTACCGAAAGTTAGTGAAATCTTCTCCATGGCTAGTTTTCAGTTTTATATGATTTTTTAAAGTACCCTCATCGCGGGCTACTTAGACCCACACGAAAACATTGTTTTCAGCGGTTCTAGTCGCTTATACGTTGCATTGACCAATTGGTTTGCAGTTGCTTCCGTGAAATGGCGACACAGTACAGAATGTATCCCAAACAAACGAAGACACGCGACGCTACCCCCGACGCTCTCATGACTCCTCCCCCGACTCCTCACCCTACCGACCCACCAAAATTTTCCAGACGGATGACTGCTTCCGCTTGGTAACGAAAGGAGCCAAATCCCAACCTTCATACCAATCCAAACCAGTCGAATCCCATAATCCCTTCAACTGTCTTTCCCAACTGGACCCTCCGGCAATCACACTTTGGAATCCCTAAAGACCTGCAAACAACCAACGAAACCTCAGCCGACCATCCACGGACCCCGAAACCAACTATCAAAGGACGAATTGGACTATTCAGAATTGATCTCAACCCAACAGAACTGAACAAGCAATTGAAGGCAAACTGTACCAATCATCTGACAGCTTAGTGGTCCCGGACGGAATTGGTAATTCAACCAATGACTGACAGCACACGGAAAGATAAAAGAGACCGCCTAGACCAGATCACTAGAGTCCCCAGACAAAACGGACTATTTAACAGTGGTTTTTCATACCATTTCAACCGAGCCATCGACGAGCAATGAGACAATGTTTTAATAAAAGGACTCCCTGCGAAATACTACCTGACTGCCATCAAAGACAACTTCACGCTCTCACGCCCTCACTACTATAACACGCCACATCACTAAGATACAACGCGACACCGATGATACGTTGACACCAATAGGCCTGTTTACAGTCCATCAATCCAATAAATCCATCTGTTTACAGTAGAGACAAACAAAAAAGAAATAACAGACCTTAAGAAAACACTATGATTCATTGACTTTTTTAGAGTGACCATTGAAGATAGCAAGATTACAGAATACACCACTTCAGAAACTGTCTAAGATTGTACCACACAGCAGGAGACAAGGGACTTGCGCCCTCTGCGCTGACCCCACTGGAATGGAGACTGTCCATCCCATGCTTCTGACAAACCATTCACCCCAAAATGCATCAACTGCTCCCTGAGCCACCCAGCCTAAGACCCCCAATGACCCTTCGCAGTAAATGCCCCATTCCCAACCAACTCACTCCAAAACTTTCCCCTCCTAAGATCCCACAACCAATGTTACGCTTCTGCCGTCACCCAATCCAAACCCACCAACCCACAACCCAACAACAAACTACCCTATCAGCAACCGAAGGCATCAAAGACCTCCTCTCCTGCAAACTCCATCAGTTAGATTATCCTTTATCTAAATCCCCTACTCAAAGACTACTCAGTCAGGACACTATTCTCACAAAAGACATGGCTAACACCCGACAAATCCTTTTCCACCTCTAACTACATCACCATCAGGACCGACAACCTCATCCGCTGGAGGCGGAACGGCAATCCTCACCCGACGATCCATCCCACACACCCCTTACCAACTACCTCCACATCCCTATTTGATATTCTGTCACAAACCACCTCACATACCGTTTCCCGACTCCAACCTAGATACCCTTAAAAACCTCCCCTACACCATCATCGAAGGCGACCTAAACAGCAAATCGACCTCATGGCGCTGCATGACTAGTAACGGGACCGGACTAAGACTAGAACATTTTATAGACTCAAACCTTCCAAGTATTAATAAAAGTCCCTACTGAATCCACCCAACTAGCTCGACACATTTCCCACCTAATCCCTCATATTCTCCATTCCTTCCAAATACTCATAACCATTCCCCATTCAAAATACAACCTCTGCAACTTATCTGACCACCTCCCAATAGTCCCACACCTACTGGATAAAATGTAAACATACTGTCCAAGAAAATTCACGT